AAGGGGTAATGTTAGCAGTATGGCAGAAAAATAGAATGGGTCTAGATGAAGAAAACTTTGAAATGCCCAACTGAAGAATTTATATTTGACTTGAGATAAGAAGCTCATTGAATAGGGAAGGGAAAGGTTACGTGGTCAGATATTTACTTTAGGAAAGTCATTTTGGCAGCTCCCACTGGAACACACATTATCTGGAGAGGATCATAGCAGATCATATATTTAGAGGGGTCACAGGATCCCAGGGTTTGGCAGTGAATGTGACTTGGCCCCAGCCCTTTTTACAGAAGACGAAACTGAAGCCCATGGAGGGACAGTGATGTCCCAGGTCACAGGACCCTCAGATTACTGCCTTCTTCCAGATAACAGAGGCCTGGAGACTGCTTCTTTTGAGCCTCTAAGGTACAGTGAGAGGTGGTCTTTATCTTCTTACAAGTCCCTTTGGTAGAGTTCCTTCTGGTGACCATTACAGTGCCAGGGCCAAGATAAAGACATATATCGATATATAGATTTTGATATGTAGATGGAGATTCTTGTTGAAAAAGAGGTTGTGACATTTTGCTGTAGTGAATCAAATCTTTTTTACAAAACAAATATCTCTTTCACCTGTACAAAATCTTTGAGTTATCTGTACATGAATGGAGGGTATCCTTGATGAAGGTATTAGTGGGAACATGCAAACTTTGGAAAGAGATATTCATTTACATGATTGCACATATATATGAAATCACTTATGTCTTAAGAAGAGGAGAGGGGAGGGAGAAAATTTGCAACTCAAAATTTTTTAAAATGAATGTTAAAAGTTGTCTTTATGTGTAATTGGGAAAAATGAAATATTCAATTATAAAAAGATATTCAATAGTAAACCACAGCTTTATTGTTTCACAGTTGATTGAAAGATGTAGATGCTATAAAATCTCATTATGCTTATTATTTATTGACTAAATCTTAAAAGCACTATATAAAATATGGTATGTTATTAGCTTCTATAATAATATATGTTCCAAACCATGTCTTTTCAATATTTCTGCTCCATCTCTTACTCCTTCACTTTCAGTAAGAATATTCTTTTCTTTCCCTCAGTCCCATTTCATCTCTTCTGTTCGTTGCCTTTATCCCAGTTGTTAGTTCTTTCAGTCATTGTCACTTTCTAGCCTGCTAATTCCTATTTTCTCAATCCACAGACACATTCAGGCCTTTCCTGGCCTAAAAAAAAAATAAATAAAAACCCAGAGCCCTTCCCTTGGCACTATACTCAAGCCAACATCTTCTCTCCTTCACTGTTCAACTTCAATAAAGCGTAGTTGTCACTCATCACTTCCACTTCCTCAACAGTAGTTTACTGTTTAACCTCAATAATCAGTCTGTCTTCCATCTCCATTATTCTTCTGAAACTGCTTTTTCTTTTTCTTTTTCTTTTTTTTAGGCAATTGGGGTTAAGTGACTTGCCCAGGGTCACACAGCTAGTGAGTGTCAAGTGTTGGGTCTGAGGCCAGATTTGGACTCAGGTCCTCCTGATTTCAAGGCCAGTGCTCTATCCACTGCGCCACCTAGCTGCCCCTGAAACTGCTTTTTCCAAAGGTATTACTGACTTGGTCACTAAATCCAAAGACCTTATCTGTCTTCATTCCTCTTGACCTCTTTATAATAACCTACCCTCTGCTCCCTTAGCTTCTGAGACTATGTACTCTTATAGTTTTCATCCCATCTTTGAAAGCTCCTATTGTGGCTCCTCATCTGCTTCTTGCCTTTTAAAAATCTACGTGCCCAAAGTTAGTCTGCGCCAATTACTCGTTTTCTGGGGCAGGATTCAAACTCGAGTCTTCTTGACTCAGCACTGTACTGTAACATCTGTCAGCCTGTCCTTGCCTGGCTAACACTGTCTGAGTAGAGTGTCCAGGAAGAGATCTGATGATTCATTGTACGTACCTTCTCTTTGCTCTTGTCTTTCTCTTTACCCAGATCCGCATGTCATCTGACCAATTATCTATCTGTCTGTCTCCAGTTTTATGTATATGTATGTGTCACAGAATCTGAGAGTTTTAAGAGACTTTAGTGGCCATACGGTCCAACCCTTACATGAAAGCAATCTTCAGTACAACATACTGGACAAATAGTTGGTCCAGCCTCTGCTTGAAGATCTCTAAGGAGGGAGATTATGGGGAACTCACCAAGAAGCAGTCCGTTCCACTTTTATACAGCTCTGATGGGAAAATCTTAATCTCAGACTTAAATTGGCATCTTTGTAACTTCCATACATTATTCCCAGTTCTGCTCTCTGGCACCAAGCAGAACAAGTCAAATCCCTCCTCTGAATGAGAGTCCTTCAAATGCTTGAAGACAGCTATTAGGTGTCCCTTCTCTTGTCTTCTCCAGGCTACATGAGCAGCACGAGAATGGGAGTTGTTAAAAATTATAGTATTCATCTGAAAGATGTAGGTAGTGATTCTGTCAAAAGACATGGAAAAGCCACATTTCCCCATCTTTTAGGTAATTCTAAAAATAGCAGACAGTTATAGATAAAGAACTAGTGATAGAAAAGATAGGATTCTATTATTGGATTTACTATTTGACTTATTTACACAAAAATGAAAGTTTGAAAATGATTTACAACTAAAATAAATCATCACCCTTTTGGGGGGAAGGGAATAGGAGGGAACTGTATTTCCTTATGGAAGGAATCATAATCCAGATCACTCTGACTCTCAGTGTTTGGCTAGTAATGGGCCCCAATCCATTTTTGGGGTTTTGTTGGCTCAGAGTTAAGTGTAAATAGCAGTTGTTTCTGTTCTGGCCAGAAATCCTGAGGATCTTCCCCTTCCAGATGAATTTTTTTTTAGTAGTTAAAAGAGGCCATTCTTTGCCTCATTTCTTACCTATCCTTAATTACTAAATGGGTGTTACCTCAGACAAACTGAGACCTTATCTTAAAAAGGCTAAGGTCTTCTGCTATATCTGGGGCCATCTCCAGTCATTCTTGCCACTGGACTCAGATGGCTCTGGAGGAGAGAGTGAGGCTGGTGACTTTGCACAGCTCTGCCTCATTTAAATCCAACTTACTTTCAAGTCAAGACATCACTTTCCTGATGTCATTGGTTCCCTTTGAGAATGGAGGACAGACAACAACAACACAATAAACAAGTGAGGATAATTCCTCCTGTGGTCAACCTGATAACATATGGGCTGGTCCTTAAACAATAGGTGTACATTCTTTCATTGGTCCTTTTTAACTTAAAGCTTAGTCATCATGATATGAATGTCAATCTGTATACTTCTGTATCTGAGTCTTTCAGCTCCCAGGGTCATTGGAGTTGGCCTTAATGAAGAATCAGTCCTGTATTACTTCTGAACAACACTCTACACAGAGAAGAAACATTAGAGTTGGATTAGGAGGCAGTCTGGTTTCTGTAGAAAGAATGCTTGATTTGGAGTCTAAAGAACTGGGTTGTAATCCCATCTTTTCCAGAACCCTATCCTGTCAACTCTAATACCTTCCCTCCAAGATGATCTCCAATCTATCATGTATATGGCTATGTTTGTGTTTATGTACATATATACTATATGTGATGTTTGTACATAGTTGTTTGCATATAGTCTTCCCCATTAGACTGTGAGCTCCTTGAGAGCAAGGACTGGAAGAAGTTGGAGGTATCTTTGAAGTACTTTCTTTTGTCTCTAAGCCTGATTTGTATAGTTCATTAAATGATGATACAGAAACAGTGCCTCCCACCTCCAGCTGAAACAGGAGATGCAGGAGATATATAAGGAAACTAATAACAGGAAAATAGTGATACAATCCTATTATGGTAGCACTAACGATTCTAGTAATAATCTATACCTTATTTTCTCCAGAAGTAGGTGCTTGAATTCTAGCTTATTAAAATTTAATTCTACAGGAAAAGAATTGCTTTCTTTTCTTTCATAATGAAAGGATTTATTTATAAACTGTCAAGATTTCTTGAGGCACAGGTTGCAGTGTTAATATGTCTCTTAACAGGTTTCTCGAGGCAGCTAGGTGGCACAGTGGATAGAGCACCGACCCTGGATTCAGGAGGACCTGAGTTCAAATATGGACTCAGACACATAACACTTACTAGCTGTGTGACCCTGAGCAAATTACTTAACCCCCATTGCCCAACCAGAAAACCCCCAAAACAACAGGTTTCTCAATAAAGCTTACCAAATTGTTTTATGTTGTATAGTTATATACATACACACATACATACATATCTCAATTCTGGAATGGATTATATTCTAAAAGTTCCTTATTTAGAACTAGAAAGTAATTTCACATAAATAATATATGTAGATTAGGCTCCTAGCCTACCTCACAAAAATGATAGCACATGTACCTACTTCTTTCAACTTTAAACCATTGTGGTATTTAAACCATTGTGGCCCATCTGTATTCTGGGATGGTTATTGACAAAGTATAGATCTTATAGTTCAGGATCAGATGGTGGAGGTTAGGCCTGGTTGAGGTGGCACACAAAGGAAGAGAGAGCCAGTCGAACCTCCTGCTCAACCTTCCTTCCTCCATGGAGCTGGAGCTCATTCAGTGCTAGGCAAAGGAAGAGTAACTGGGGTAGGATCTCAGGTGTAAGGGGCTGAAATCAGTGTTCCCAAGGATGAGGGAAAGAAGATTATGGGGGTCTAGGTCTGGATTATCTCTGCCAGTATAAAACTTCTGTCCTGGGCCAGTACCCTGTTACCTCCCTTCTTTTCTTCTGAAGCCACGTATTGCTTCTGACCAAGATCTCTCTCTTCTCTGTGGCTATTCATATCTGAGAAAAGTATATAATTGAAGATTGCTTTGTGATAACATATGGGACTTTATGCCTCAGAGTGCCAAAAAATGCCACAATTTTCATCTTCACTGAAAATTAATTCTCATGAGTAGTTTCAAAAAATTGAAATAAGCAACTAAAATTGATAAAAATAAATGGCTCACATAAGCATGTATATTTAAGTAAGAATCCATGTATATTTTGCTTTTCTTAAAGGAAATCAAACGGTACCAGATCTTTGGAAAACTACGTGGCACTGCATCATGAGTGACAATAAATGTGATAGTCATTTTTATAGTGTGCAAGTTGCAGATTCAACTTTCACAGTACTAAAACGTTACCAGCAATTAAAACCAATAGGATCTGGAGCTCAGGGAATTGTTTGGTAAGTAGTACGCTTTGCTATTGTGAAATGGTTGGGGTGCAATAAAAGGTAAACCTGACTTGCCAGAATTTAAAATGCTTATATGGTAATGCTCTATTTTTTTACTACAGGATTATGAGCTAAAATTGAATCTGCTTCTTGCTGTAATTAAACATAGTGAAATTATTTGCAGGATACAAACCTCAATTCTTAGACCTCTACATAAATTGTAATAGGTAGTAATTTTTCATTCCTTATTTCCTTTTTTGTTTTGTTATTTTCCCCTAATAGTTATAATATAAAAGTATATGATTTGACAGTGAGTTGGTGAGAGTTTCTGGGGTTTGCTCATTTCTTCATCATGGCCACCTTTTTTTCCCCCCCTACCCCCTTTTATTCCCAATCACTCCTATCCATTTCTAGGAGCCATCAATGCAGTGCCTTGCCAGTAACTGGCAAGATGAGGCAAGTCAGTATCATTATCACTCCATGGAGTAACCAGAAAGGGATGCTGTGTGAGGGGTTGGGCTGGCCGTCTCTTCTTTGGTGTGTTACCTCAACTATGTCCAGCCTCTACTGTCTGATCCTGAACCTTAGTCTCTTGCATGGTAAGACAATGAGCTGCCACTACATCATTGGGCCAGCTAAAGGTAAAGTTTTTCAAATTTTTTCTAGTCTACAGCTACCAGCAATTCCAAAACACTTTTTTTTGTCCCATATTTTACTGGGCAACAAGCTCTTTTTTTTCCCCTTAATGAATGGAAGAATGGTCTGTGCTGTTTTCAAACAAAGAAAAAATACAAACTGGTAACATAAACTTAAGATGAAGAAAAAAGCGAATTCGTAGTTAGAGTTCCATTTTGAGTTTATACCCTGAGGCAGTGTGAAAAGAAGAACCCTTTGGACATTTTAACTGAAAGTGTTGAGTTTGATTCTTTTGACTGGTTGCTTAATGATAGGCTTATTTAGCTTTCTTTCATCTGTTGTAGTTCTTGAGTGATCTGGGAAAAAATATGTGAAAGAAGTCCAAACAGCTAAGCATGATTTGCAGCCCATAGTTTATTTAAATGGTTACAAGAAAAAGGGACAGATCTTTGGAAGTAATTCATAGGTGTTTTCTAAAATGGTGGTCTTAACTTTCAAATGGTACCATTTTGTATTTGAACTCAAATCCAGTGTGTTATGAGAAAGTTACCAGGGAATGCATGCAAATTAAGAACAATTTCTTATTCTTAATGTGGCTTTCTGTGAGATGAAACAAACTTTTGACTTATATTCCATCTTATCTTTTAGAGCCAAGCATTTTGACTCACAGATGTATTTTCCTGAAAGTAATCTTGAGGTTACTTAAAAATACCTTAATTTATGGCTTGTCATCTATAAGGAATTTTTAAGTAATATATAGGCTAGCTCAGGGCAAAAGTCAATAGTTGTCAGGATGAAAGCTCTGTATTTTTATAAAAGAGAAACAGTGAAAAAGAACTACCTGGTTATGATAGTATTCATCACTAATAATTAGCTATGCTAATTATAGAATATTAATTTTATTTGATGATTTTTTTTACTCCTGGTTTATATCAGTCATTTTAATTTAAAGAAAGAAGAAATTTTGATGAAATTTTTCATTATGAATTTTTGTTTGAACAGAATCAACTAAATCAGAAACAAAATGCTTAAGGTTTATTATCATCCTTCCAATAATAAAAACTCTGATAGTGGTAGTAGAAAAGACAGTTTTGATTTTTCAGAGGCAGATATGGTGTAAGGGCCCTGGATTTTGAAATCGGAGGGCCTGGATGTAATTCTAGGCTCTAATACATTCTGGCTTTGAAACTTTCTTGAGCCTCAATTCCTTCTTCTGTGAAATAGGAATGATAATGCTTATGAATGACCTGTCTGACTGATTTGTAAGGAAAATGCTTTTTAAATCTTAAAATGCAATAGAAATATGAATAATTTTTATTCAGATATTTACAGTCATGTAAAACACTGAAACTACTGGGTAAGATGCCATAAACTGAGAATATTAATCTTTAATAGAGGCTTCTAATGCTATATTCCAAGTAGAATTTTAAAAATTTTCATTTCATAACAATTATTTTGCTTTAGAAACATATTAATGATTTTTAATAGAGTATTACAGTCAGGAAGGAAAAGAACCTGATGAAAGGAAGGATCGATGCATTGGAAAGGGAGAGATGTTTCTGGAGCACGTTCCCCAAACCTACTGAGTCTCCCTTTTTTTGTTCTTATGGGGCACTAAGGATTCCCTATCACAAAATCTTTGTTCTCCCCTCTTCACTCTTCTTTAATCCCCCACTTTGATTTACCATATTTATTTCTACCTCCATACCTTTGTTTCTTCTGTTCCCTCTGCTAAAAAAGGAAAAAAAAGGAAGATGTTTCGCCACTTAATCTATCCTAATCCTACCCATTCTTTGAGACTGAAGACTCATCAGCTTTGTGAAAACTTTTCCAAATGTGCACATCTTGGTGTCCTTTGCGTTATTGTGAAGATCTCTGGCATGTAGAGACAATCTGTATCACAGTATCTTGTACTTATGAGTACATGCCTGAGAAACTATGCCACTAACTAGATATGTTATCTTAGTTGTCACTTCCTTTCTCGGGGCCCCAGGACCTCCTCTGTAAAACTGAGGAGTTTTGAAAAAAGATTATTTATTCCAAGCTCTAATATTCTGTCATTTCATGTGGGTGGTAAGTGAGGGAGCCAGCACTAGAACCCAAACCTTCTGATGCCCAACACCAAGCTGTCAGCTTAAACAAATTGAAAGAGATGTTAAGATGTTAATATTGAAAACATTTTTTTGCTGTTGGTTTTTGGGGGAACGAGGTGGTATTTTAATCAGCTTTGTCTTCTTGGTATAGTTGTGATATACATAAATATTTATGGAATTATTACAAAGTTTTCTAGCACTAATATTTAACTCCTTTTCAAATGTGCAAATATCCAATTTCTTACCCTTCTTCAAAAATCCACCCTGTTGAATCAAAATAACAATGACTATTTGATTTCTAAATCAGTTCTGTGAAATGTTTAGTCATTTTAAAAAGTTATTTTAGGTCTGGCAAAATTGGAAGATGTAATTAGGGCTTTGTCACAAAATATATGATACATCATTCTTTTTTGCTTTCTCCAATACTATATAAGTGAGAGAATTTTGTGCTAATCTTGTTATTTTTGCATTATCTTAACTATTCTTTCATGAAAAAAAAAGCCACTGTATGAACTTTGGTAAATCTCTTTTCCTTAATGGGCCACAGTTTGCTTATCTGTAAAATGAAAGTGTTGAACTGTATCTAAGGTTCCTCTCAGTCACAGTAGTCTGTGATTCTCTGTGGAAGTTACTGATTACCTGCTTTATGTGTTTCAGACTTCAAATTCTGATACAAAGCATGCTTTTGTACAGGAAAGTCTTTGTTGCTTTTACATTTGGGCCTCTTGATGTTAGAGAGAGAGAAAACACTGGACTGGGAGTCAGGAGGTTTGGTTCATAGCTCCAGCTCTGCCACTGTTATAATATGGTCTGGGGTAAGACACTTAATGTCTCAAGCCTCAGCTTCCTTGTGTATAAGATGAGCAGTGTGGACTAAATGATCTTTACAATCCCTTTTGGTGCTAGGGTTCTATATTATTCTACCTTAAAGAAAGCAATTTACTATTTGCCTTCAAACAGGTTGTCAAATTGAACAAACAGTACTTTGGTTTATACTACTTTACAAGCCATAAAGAAAAAGTTGCTTAGGACGAAATAGCCTTAGGTAATTAGAATAGATAATTCAAGGCTATGCCATTGTGAATAAAATCTGTGATAGGTTTGATTCTTCTGTTTTGGTCATCTTGAAGTTTGGTATAGACAGGAAAAAAGATACTAGAGGAAAAAGATCTTGAAATTGACCTCACATGTTTCCCAGCTCATGGAATATGAGCATATCTGCATATATGTGGGAAACATACTATTTCACTTCAAAAGTTCTCTGATTTCGTAGGTATGGATATTTCCTCCACCTGCACCTCCAGTGCAGATCACATCACAATCCCTTGATGCATTAGATGGTTTCATGAGTTTGTGGTTTAAAAAAAAAATGAATGCTTAGCAGTCCACCTTCTCATTCTGTTACCTAGAATGCCTTATGGACAGCATATGACCCTGTGGCCTCATGTAGGACCTGCCATGTATATGTATATGCGTGTTTAGTTTAGCATACTTCTGAGAGGCTTATCATAAGAAAGTTGCCTACAAGATCGGGAAACTGTTATCATTATCATTATTTTGTTACAATAGCTTATGAAACTATCTACTAAGATACAAAGGGGTTGCAGTCTAAATGGAATGATGGCTGTGCCATCAACTGATAAAATCATAGCTCTTTTGAAATATTTTCATGTACATGTGCTTATGTTTTTATATACACATATACATAAGAACTCTGGCTGCACTCTGAATTGGCCTAAGTATAAGCTGCACTCTTTCCAAAATCTGGCTTGTGTAAAACTTGAGTGTGGACAACTATTGATATATATCTACATAGTTTTATCTTTACTTCGAAAAAACGTGTTATTAAAGGGATACTGCCTAGATTTGGACCAATTCTTTTTTTTTGTGAGTAGGGAAAGGTTAGGGTTGGTTTGGGGGGGAGGGGTGCATGCGTGTATCTGTGTGTTTTGCAAAATCTAGGCCTGTGATTTCATCATTGTAAGGAACTCTAGAAGAAGAAGCTCCCTCAGCAAATACAGATTGACTAATCCTGTATCTGATATTCCCCATGTAACCTGGGCAAGTCGCTAACCCTTCCTGAGCCTCATTTAAAATGAGGTATCGGGGTGGGGGGAGGGAGCTAGGTGGCTCAGTGGATAGAGCACTGGCCCTGAAGTCAGGAGAACCTGAGTTCAAATCTCACCTCAGACCAAACACTTGACACTTACTAGCTGTGTGACCCTGGGCAAGTCACTTAACCCCAATTGCCTATAAAAAATAAAATAAAATGAGAGATCAGGACTAGATGGGCTCTGAGGTACCCTGTACCTTGGACACATACTGGTTCTGTTTCCCTGGGCAAGTCATTTAAGTCTCATTGCCTTCAGGTAACTCCCTAAGACTAAACTATATAGTACACTTGCTCTGCAATGGCAGGGGGAGTGTCCTTACCAGGAATTCTCTATGTGGTTGAAATGAAATCACAGATTCAGACCAAAAAGAATTTTAAAAAACAGCTGTGAGATAGGCAATGCAAATGTGTGTGTCTGTCTCCCTGGACCTCTATTTCAGGAAATGCTTACATTATGATATTTCTCATTTCTATTTTTCCTGTTGCACATTTCATCTCAGATGGACTAGATTATGCTTCTTTCTCTCCTCTTTTGTGGTTCCTAGGATGTATAAAAATATCAATTTGTGATAGCTGTTTTTCCCTAATTGAAATTTTAAAAATTATAACCTTTTGTATAATATTATATGCCTTATTGCCATAAATATATAATAGGTAACTGTTGACTTGAATATAGTTTCAGTGGCCTAAATTCAGAATTCTGTGTGCGAAAAATAGCTAAACCATGCATTATATGTTGACGTAGAATTGTTTTACCTACAAACTTAGTACTTTTGTACTTGAGAGAAAGTAGGAACAGTGCTAGACTTAAAGATCTACCTGAGTTTAACTCCTGGCTTTGCCCTGGGCAAGTCATATCCTTAATAGATTCAGAAGAGCAGGACCCTCCTGTGCAGGGAGATTAAATAACTTGCCTAAGGTCACACAACTAGTAAGCGACAGAGCAAGGACCTCAATGAAATGGGAATAATTGTACCTATGTTGTTTATTTTATGTTAGACCAAACTCATTAACATAGGCAGAGAGCCTTTGAAACCATAAAGGGCTAGAATTGTAATTACTATCTACAGAAGGTCAGACTTATCTGTCAGTGGTGTTTATAAATTTAGGTATGGAAACAATTCTAATAGAATTCAAATTCAAGTGGTCTCTATACTTCTTGTTTAAAATGTTACCTGTGTTTGATACTCCAAATTAATTTATCATTAGTACCTAGTATGGGGCCTTGCATATAGTAGAACTGAAACAAATGGTCAGAACTTGTTCATTTTCAAAGACATTTCAGTGGTTCAAATGACTGTCTTCATGTTTTGTATATGAAAATAAAGTTAAATATATTGTGTAAATCTTAACTTTTACCCAAAGCTGACAGTGAACTGTTTGTTATGTTTCATAATTGCAGTGCTGCTTTTGATACAGTTGTTGGGATAAATGTTGCTGTCAAGAAATTAAGTCGACCATTTCAGAATCAAACTCATGCAAAGAGAGCTTATCGTGAACTCGTTCTGTTAAAATGTGTCAATCATAAAAATGTAAGTTAGTAATGTTTTTCTGAATATATTAACATGAATGACATTCTCTGTTCTCTGGGAGTTCATGGATGTTTTTGTTAATTAGGTTTAATCTCTAAAGGCAAATTAAGGTTAATACTAGCTGACATTTAAATGATTTTCAGGTTGAGCTATTATAGATATGTGCTTATTTATAAAGTTTAAAGTTATATTTTATGGGAAATTAAATTTAGCAAAGTCACATGTTCTATATGCAAGAATCTGGAAAACTTGATTAAGTAACTGCCACAGCAGTTATTCTTGCCCTTCTCATCCTTGCCTTCCACTTATGTGAATTGAAAGTCACATTGACCAACCTCAGTCTGCTTTTTCCTGGATGCTTGCAGTATTTTTTTTTCTTTGTTGTAGGAATTTGGGAATTTTCTTTTTGGAGTTTCTTTCAGGGAGTGATTTGTGGACTGTTTTGCTCTTCACTTTGCCTTTTAGTTCTAGTAGATTCGTTTAGTTTTTGATTTCTTGAAATATGATATCCAAGCTTTTTTTTTTAATCATCGTTTTTTAAGAAGTCCAATGATTCTTAAATTATCTTTCCATTGTGTGATTTCCTGGTCGGCTGTTTTTGATCTTACATTTTATTGTATTTTTCCAATCGTTTGGGTAAGGTTTATAACTTCTAAGTTGTTTCTTCCAGTTCTTTTCTCCATAGTTGTTACTTCATCTTTTTAAACTCTTGATACATTTCTTTTAGGTATTCATGTAGGTAGTCCTTGCAGAAAATCCATTTTTTTCCTTTGAGTAACTGTTTACAGTTGTTATGAAGTTACCCCTTTGCGGGGGGGAGTCTCTTGATTTACTTTTTTTATGCTAGACTTTTTTTTATACTGTACTATTTTCTTTGACTTACTCATCTTTCCAGCTTTAGTCCCTTAACCATTGTGTCAGGATCTTGCTCTACCTTCTAGGTAGGGTAGTTGACCCTACTTTGGCTTGCCCTGGCTCATTTAGATTTCTGCGCTCATCCCCACCTGTCAGAATTAGGCCCTCCTGTGTCTTTGAGATTGACAGCTCTGGATCTTGAGGGCCTTCCATGACATCTCAGGGTAGAGTGTTAAGGATCTTAGAACCTTAGGGACCAGGGCTATCCCAGTATGAGTGCTGCTGCTCCCTAGGGCTTCCAGGGGTTTCACCTTGGAGTTTTCTGACCATCCTAGGAATTTTTTTTTTAACCTCCCTAGGTCTTTCTTGGTAGGAGGGTGGGAGAGGGCTCTATATGTTTTTGCCGCCTCCAGACACAGAATCTTGCATAGCCTGTATTATACAAATCTCTGGCCAATGTCTGGTTGTGCTGAAGGGTTTGTTTTCCTGGGCTAGCACTGACTTTGGTGATGGCCCCTTTTCCTTTTGTCTGTGGACCTCTAGCTGGATTTTTGTGCAGTTCTGTCATGGAAGAAGTCACTTAACTATAATTTTTTATTAGATTTCCTGATAATTATACTGTCTGGTATACACTTCAGGTGTTTTCTGGAGTTAGGTAGATGACAGTTGGGTAGTATGTCTCTGTTCATGCAGTCACCTTCTCTATCCTATTACAGTCTGTTAAATGTTAAAGTAGTTTGATTGTTCCAATGTTTAATTTTTGCTCTGCTTTAAAATATTACTTTAACTGAATTGTTGATTATACCCAAAAGAGTGTGCTAAAATAATCTATAATGAAAGGTTCCAATTTAAAGTGAATTTTCTGTCAGTGTTTAGTAACTGAGGTTAAAAAAATATTTCCTGGTATTCTAAACAACAGTGAATTTTCTCTTCCCAGATAATTAGCTTGTTGAATGTGTTCACACCACAAAAATCTCTAGAAGAATTTCAAGATGTGTAAGTATTCTTATTTCTACTCTTGTCTTTAGCTAATAGATTTAAACGTTTAAATAGCTAGGTAAGTAATATACAATAGAGATTGAGAAAGGTAGCTATTTTCCCAGCTGTCACTTTAAAGAAGTATGTAATAAAAAACTCCTCTTAAGTATAGTCTCCTTCTTTTGACAATTCCTCTGTTGAAATGAAACTTTTGCAGGTATACTGTTCATTCAACTAGCTTTCTTTGATCATTAAGACTAAATGGTTATAAATACATCTCTGTACACTGTAGAGAAATGCTTGAAAAGACTTCTTCAAAATAAAACTAATTACCTTCCTTAGGAAAAAATACATTATAACTACAATACCAGAAGGCTTTGTTATATTCATAACCAAATATTGTTAGTAACCAAATAATGTCTTTCATTATAGATCTTTTTTGGAATATTAAATTACACTACCTCTGGTCAGCTAGTGTAGTGTTGCATGCTTATTTACAATTACTGCATGAAATTGATTAGTAAATCAAAATGCTTTCCTCTAAAACTCATGAAATAGAATCTTAATTTTTGTTGTATTAATGTATATTATGTTAACACTTATTGGCATATGGAGGCCTTTGGAAGTAGTCTGTTGTAATAGATAGGAATGCTGAGTTTGGAATTAATATAACCTGGATTCATATCCTATTTCTAAACTTTATTTATTCTTTGATCTTGAGCAAGTCCTTTGATTGCTTTGTACCTCAAGAATTTCCTAGGATTTATCTATTGAGTTTTATAGGAGTTATTAATCTGCCCTGGTTGAGTTGGAAGAAGGTCCTGCAAGCTGCCGAAATCACATATCCTTTGCATTTTCCAATATTGAATCACATGGCATAAGTTATTAATTTAACAAGAAACTATAGGTTTCATTTGTGTTCTTTGAAATACAAGTTTTTAATTGACCATGGCACATTCTTTATTTCTCTGATACTTGATCATTTCATATATTTATAGAATCCTCAAAAAATAATGCAGTTTTTTTATTTTTTAAGCTAGCCAATGTAATAAGTAACCAGATAAGCTTTATTGTGATTTCCTACAGGTTTCAGTTGAATATACATCCTTTAAATAGCCATACAATTCTGCTAATGTACATATGTGTAAAAGGGAATTTCTTATTCCTTTCTAGGTATTTGGTCATGGAATTAATGGATGCTAATTTATGCCAAGTGATTCATATGGAATTGGACCATGAAAGAATGTCTTACCTTCTTTATCAGATGCTTTGTGGTATTAAACATCTCCATTCAGCTGGTATAATACACCGAGTATGTAGTGATATAACATTGATGGGAATTATTTTTAGTGTTATAAAAAAATATTCTTTTTGTCTTTACATTGCTTGCATTTCCCAATACATTCCTCTCTTCTCCCCCAACAAAAAGTCATCCCTTATAACAAAGAATAAAAAAGAGGGGGAAAAAAAGCAGTTCAACAAAACTAACCAACAAATCAAAATAGGCTGCTTTTATATGCAGTGTACCACAGAAAGAAAGAAAGTGCCTTTTCATACCTGTTTCTTCCTGTGGGCCAAGCTTGGTCATTATTATTTTTCAGTACTCAGTTTCCAAATTTTTTGCTATTGTTTTTTCCCTTTACATGTTGTAACCCTTCGTGCTGAATATTGTTTTCTTAAATTTGCATATGTTCATAGAAATCTTCCCATGCTTTTTCACATTCATCTTATTCATCATTTCTTAGCATAGTAATATTCCATTACATTAATGTACCACAATTTGTTTAGCCATTTTCTAATAAGTGGGCATCTATTTTGCTTCCAGTTCTTTGCTGCCACAAAAAGTGCTTCTATGAATACTTTGGTGTATATGGGACCTGTTTTTTTCCTTCTTATCATTGACCTCCTTGGGTTATATCTTAGGGTATATGCTTAGGAATGGAATCTCTGAATCAAAGGGTATAGACATTTTAATAACTTTGTTAGCATAATCCCAAATTGCTTTCCAGATTGGTTGAATCATTTCAGAGCTTCACCAACAGTGCATTATCGTGTATGTTTTTCTACAACTTTGCCAGTATGTGCTATCTTCATCCTTTTTTCACTCTTACTATTTTATTAGGGATAAGGTGAAATCTCAGAGTTGCCTTGATTTGCATTTCTCTTGTCATTAATGATTCAGAGGATTCTTTCATGTGGTTGTTAATAGTTTGCAGTTCTTTTAAAAGCTTTTCTTTTTCTACCACTTTCGCTTTTGCATTAGTTTATAATGTAAAACCCTAATTCTTGAATTATTAGAGAATTTTTTAAATCACATTTTAGAATAGAGACATCAAGTATACTAGCAGGTTGTATTGTATTAAATGACACTATGTTAGAAATAGGAAAGAGACTCTTTTGTTTTTAATAAGTAATCAATCATCAAAAAGATAACAGTTTTAGAAACAGATGAAACTGTTCTTTGAAATGTTACTCAGGTTGTCCTAAAAACGCCTTTATAATAAAATGGCTATGTGTGCTAAAAAAGAATTATCAAGGATATATTTCCTAGGTGATATTCTCAGTTCTTAGATGTGTATGATTAATATAAAATATTTGGGGGTGAAAGTTTGGGTAGTTTATCACTTAAAAAATAAAATTCATAGAGTTCCTCTTGTGTGAGGATTTCCAAAGCCTTTGGGATTCCTACCCCAATTTTTTCTTTTATTCAGCCCTGATTCCTAATGCCATTCATGTCCAGAAGCAAGTGAATGATGTCCCTAGTGTTCTATACAGTTGGCTTACTGCTCTTTAATCAGTAGTTGCATTACCATAGTAACAGTGCAACATCTGCATTCCCCTTAGCTCTTTTCCTGTGGTACAAGGCCAACCAACAAGGCCCTACTAGCCCCTAAAAGAAACTAATTAAGGAAGGGTCAGAGATAGGGAAGGGCTGTAGGGAGTTGGAGGACACTTGCTGAACTGAGACCTTTTCACTTCTTCCTTAAATGTCATAGAATCATATCACTCAAAGAGAGAAAGGCCCAAAGAGCTGAATGACTCCCTAGTCACCTGCTTTTTCTACCAGCTTATCCTCAAGCCACTCCCCTGATTACCCCTAAAAGGCTTTGCTCTATTATTTCTCCTCACATCATATAAACTGTGTTCGTCTAAACCAATCTTTTAACCTAGGGTGTACAGATTTCCACCCGAGGGATCCAGGGATAGATTTCAGGGTATCTGTGAATTTGTATGAGGAAAAAAATTAGATCTTTATTTTTACTAATTCCTAACTGAAACTTAGTATTTTCTCCAATTTTTTTTATTCACTTAAAAACATTATTCTGAGAAAGGGTGCAAGGGCTTCACCAGATTGCCAAAGGGGTCCTTGCTACTAAGAAAGATTAAAAGCTTTCCTATTGTTCTCTACAACCTCCCCACTCCCGTGATTAATTACAAAAAACTGCAGTGTTAGAGTATCACAAATGGTTTAGTGGAAATAGGTTTGGTTTTTGAGGTCAATGGCCTTGGAAATGTAAATGCTTTAGATTTACTCATTTGCCTGCAAAATAAATGTATCACTGGAATACAGACTACTGTATAGAAATAGTAACACTAAAATATTTCCATTTTAATTACCTTTATTGCTTTAGGTCCAAGATTTAAATATAGAGTAAATAATTTCCACTAATAGAGAACAGGGATCATGAAAATTGAGTTAATAACAGAGTTGAAATAGGAGACTCTCAGAGTTAGAAAGGACCATAGATATTTTGTAGTTCAACCTGTACCTGAGCAGTAATGTATTCTGCAATATCCCTGACAAGTGGACATCCAACCTCTGCTTAATCACCTCCAGGGACAGAGAGCTCACTATTTACCTAGGCAGCTCATTTCACACATAGATAACTCTGATAAGGATGGTTTTCCTTTGTCTTGAACTGACATCTTCCTTTCTGCAGCAGATACCCTTGCTGCTCAGATACACTTAAAAACTGTTACAATATCCCTTAAGTCTTATCCGTGCTAAACTTCCCCACTTTCTACAACAGATTCTTCAATGGAATGCTTTCCAGTCTTCTCTCCATCTTAATTACTTCTGTGGATTTGGTTCAGTTTAATATCCTTCTTAAAATTTGATGCCTAGACTTACTATAAATGTGACGTCTCTGGGGCTGAGGTCACGTCAGTCGCCACTGCTTTAATGGTTCTACAATCCACTTGAAAATAAGCTTGAAAATATAGAAGCAGGAGTGATATCATCTTATTGGAAAGATAATGTTTATGGCATTTCTTTATTGCATTATTGATTTGGGCTATAATTGAGCATTTTCTTAAAGTTTCTTTTTTAATTACATACACATTTATAAATATATATATATATATATTGCATATACATATACATTTAATTGCATATGCATATATATGACATATATTTGAACAGATAACTCTCCCTTTATGATAACTCTGCCTAGGTATGTTGCCAGTAATGGGATTTTTGGGTGGGAAACTTAACTGGTATATCAAATATAGAGCCAGGCATCCTGAGCCACAGGAAACATTCTTATAGTGGACTGCAAAGCATCAAGAAGGGAGGAGAGTCATAATGGAAGACAAACTCCTGAAGTTTGAAAAAGGCAGCAGGGTTCTAAAGAAAAAATGCATCTGGTTCTACAGAAAACATACCCAGGTCTCCACCTTCCTCACTTGACAATTTTCATCCCAGTCCTCTGGGGGATTTTTTTTTTCCTAAGAAATGTATCTGACTCCATAAATGATGTCAGTGAGGAAAATGGATTTGCTTCATGTAAATTCTGTTTTTCCTGTACTGTATCTGTTCCATAAAATAAGAAATACCTATTTTAATAAATAGAAGTTCTATACAACTCATTTCTAATATTCTGTCATCTGATAACTATGAACTTAAAATTTAATTTAATAAAAAGGTATGTATTAGATACTTGCCATATGCAGAGCACTTTGCTAAGCTCTGGGGAAGCAAATAGAAAAGCAGGACAGATTACAAGTACTTCTGTTAAAGTATTGCATAAGCCAAAATATATGTAGCATTTTCCCATATATTTTTGAATCATTGTACTAACTTAATTCATTGATTTATTAGGATTTGAAACCCAGCAACATAGTAGTAAAATCAGATTGTACGCTCAAGATCCTTGATTTTGGCCTGGCACGGACAGCATGTACTAATTTTATGATGACTCCATATGTAGTCACACGCTATTATAGAGCACCTGAAGTTATCTTGGGGATGGGATACAAAGAAAATGGTAAGTTTCAGATTTTAATGAGAAAGTTGATATTCTTTAAAATTGTATTGCTGATTTTATTATTCATTTGTTACAGTGAGTTTGAATTTGAATGTACAATTGTGATTGCTTATTGTTCTAAATTTGGTTATGGCCTTGTGTAGAGAGGTCACTGTAGTTCACACTTACAAAGTCATTCATTTTTTACCCATACTGGTAAAAAATAACTTATTTCACAATTTATTTTTAAATCTGAAAATAATTCCTGAGATAAGAAAGTTATTTATAAAGTCATTCATTTTTTACCCATACTGGTAAAAAATAACTTATTTCACAATGAATTTTTAAATCTGAAAATAATTAATTCCTGAGATAAGAAAGTTGTTTTCTCTGTATTTAACTTTTGTTTTTTTCTTAAGATTCTATATTATTTTAGAAGAAACTAAGCCTATTTTAATCACCCATAAAGAAAAGAGGCCTAAATTCAGCCCAGTCACAAGTTACAAAATTAGTTTGTTTTCACTGTTAAATCATAAATATTCTCAAACCTATTCCCTCCCTTATACTGACTTGCACTCAGTCATAATAGACCTGATAAAAGGTGCTTTACTATTGTGTTGTTAAAGAAATGCCCCACACAAATGAAATAATGGAAAACATCAGGCTGCTAGCTTCTCTTTCCCCCCCCCCCGCCTTATTTATCCCCATATCTCCTCATAAATGTTATGCTCCTGGACAAAACTGTTCATGCCTTCTGTGGCATGGTGATAAGAGTTCAGCCTGGGCTTAAAAGAAGGTGTATTACATTATCATGCAATAATTACTAAAGAGAAATGCTTGAATGAAGTCACTTCTTCCTGGGCCTTAGGGGTTTTTTATGTGTAAAATGAGGGTATTGGACTTAGATGATCTCAAAGGCCTTTTTTGGCTCTAAATCTATCAAATTGGGATAAACTTCTGGAACTGCTTTGTCAATATAGTGCTGTCTGGAGCAGTATAGCTAAAGGGAGCCCCCTTCTGGATGCTTCAATTTGTAATATTTCCATTTGAATCTGAGATAAATGCCTTAAGTGTAATAATGCCCATGCGAACTTAATCATATTTCAGAACATTATAAAAACTCTGAATTAAGTTAATTTAAAAATATTTGAGGTAAAGTAAGGATGATGGACTTCTTTCTGTGTTTCTGTTGTTTTGAAGTTGTGTTGGGGAGTAAAGGGGCATGGGGTACTCTATCGTTAACTTTTTAATCTATGTTCTCATTGCACCTGGCGTTGGGTAGTGGATATCTGGTCTGTTGGGTGCATTATGGCAGAAATGGTCCTTCATAAAGTCCTGTTCCCAGGAAGAGACTGTATCCTTCACAGTGGTTTCTAGAATTATAAAGTAAATTGCTCAGGTTGGAAAATGGTCTTTAGGTTAGTTTACATGTACTTTATCAGCATGTTTTAACAGCAGCATTAAGTGTTATAGTCAGTTACAACTGAATTACTGTCAAATTGAAAATAAAAAAGCTGAGTTCATGTTGTGTGAAAGTTCATCATTAGCTAGCTATTTATTTTTCCATATTTATGTGTCTGGTATAGAAGCTAGAATTCCTTTTTTCCCGCCTTTATTTTGTTCATGGCACTTCATAATTTTATCATTTCATTTTATTTTCAGTTGATATCTGGTCAGTGGGGTGCATCATGGGAGAACTGGTGAAAGGTTGTGTGATATTCCAAGGCACTGATCGTATCCTTCCCCAGTCATCCTTGAACCCCAGCCATACTTTCCATAACCACCAAAGGCAAAATGACTTTCTTTGTCTGCAGTAGATGAGAACACAAAAAGGAAAACATCATACTTCTTGAGTATGTGTTTGAAATGGTCTTATTCTGATGTTTGTTAAATTAGTGTCACTAACAAAGTTGCACATATTTAACTTTCATTCCTGATTATTTTACTATGCTAAACTCTACTGCTTGAATAGTAATGTATTTACTCCAGGAGCTATTGCATTGGATGACACATTGGCATTTAATTGCATTTAAAAAGGCATGTAGATATGTAGGAATACAACTGTATTAAAAAACAGGATATAAATAAATAGCCCACCAAATTATTTAATTTATCTAGGAAAGTGGCTATTTCAAACTCATGTGGTTGTGCTTAAAAGATTTTACTAATGTGCTGTATTTGTTAAAATTATCAATATGCACTAAAAAGGTTCTTTTTAGAAACTAGAATTTGAAACACATTAAATGAGACCCAAATAGAAAGTATGCAAATGAGATAAAAAGTTGTGTCAAATTTCCTGGTTCTATTCTAATTCTTATTTGGGAAAACTTTTTTTAAAATCACCCCTGTTTGTGTGCTTTTTTTTTGTTCTTTGTGTTTTTTAAACAATGATTATTTTGCTCTGGCACATTACAAATACACTGTAGGAACATAAACTTCAAAATTTTAAATGAATAGATGGTCAGCTTATTCATGTTAACATCGTTAAACAGAAAAAAAATCAAATTTAATACTTCCTATATGCCATTTCTTGTCTGTAGAGTCATGCTTTCATCTTGTGAATGCTTTTCATCCTAGTCATTTTTCTCATGTGTCATTTCTCATTATGATAAACATTGAATATTTTCATTAGTCTTCATTTTAAAAAATTATTAAAATAGTTTATATCAATTGACAGCTATTCTTTGCTTTTCTAATTAATCTTATCTTCAGTATCATATACATTATGTCAACATACTTTTTCTTGTGGTCTTTTTATTGGGGTGATTTTTCAAGGTCAAGTAGATAGAGCAAGTTCTTAAGGAACAGATAATGTTTTGAAGGGGTTTTTTTTGTTTTGTTGTGGCTGGCTTTATGAATACTTTTATGTATTATCTATTTTCTAAGTATTTACCATGAACTTAGATGCTGTGTTATATTTCAGCTTTTCTGAGCAATTGTCTAGCAATTATACCCTATGTCAAGGTCACCCATTTCAGTGACTAAATAGATTTTTATTCTGAAAATAAATTCAATTTAAAAAAACTTTATATATATATATAAAACATATAAAACAATTAAGCTGTTTTGCCTAATATTGAGTGAATTAATATCCTGATAATTAGTCACTTTTTTACTTTTGTGCATTTTATGTCTTAGCTTATTTTGTACATTAAGAGAGAATTAAAATTTTAAGAAGTGCAGAGATGAAAAAAGTGGTACTTTATAGGAAATGAAAAAGATTGTTAGGAGTTAGGTTAGACTTAACAATTCCACAAGAACAGTAAATAGTGTTACTGTAGAAAAAATAACGGTGCAGAGAAGAGAATCAATCTGGTGTACTTTCAAAAAGAATAAATATTTAGGTTTTTCTGTCATAGTTTAAATAAAAAAGAATACAAATTTATAGACTCTTATTATGTCAAGATGTGGCTGGAATATAACACTGGATTTAGAGTCAGACATTTGAGTCCCAGCTCTGTCATTCACCAGGTCTGTGACCTTGGGGAAATTACTTTACTTTCCTGGGCCTCACAGAAACAGAGTCAGTGATACTTGTACTGCCTACCTCACAAGGCTGTTATTAGAATCCAGTGAGACAAGATGTATGAAATGCTTTGTAAGCCATGAGCCATGAGCGTAGACTGTTATTTTTGTGAGCAGCAATAATAATAAATGAGATTACTAGGACCTGCCAGATCTTGTATTCCATTGTTGTCATAGTTTTTGGAACTCTCCATGAGACATTTTACCTAACTTTTAATGAAAGTTAACTATGACTTCTGAGAGGCATCCTGGCAGTAGAGGTATGGAAGTAAGTCATCCTCAGAGCTTGCAAGACCAGGTTCCAAGTCTTGCATTTGTCATGCACTGGCAGTGACCCTGGGCAAGTCATTTAACTTCTTAATGCCTCAGTCACCTCTATAAGACTGTAAGTTATAAAACAGGTGCCAAATCTGCGTTGGAAGGAGTTTCCTCACCATAATTCTCTGCACCATTGAACAGGTCTGGTCGTCTTTCTTCTCACCCTTAGCCTCCAAAATAAGCCCCAAACAAAAAACAGGAGTTACCTATAATTTTTGTCTTAAGCAGTAATCTTTAGTCACAAGAAAACAATCTTATTGGAGCCAAAAATGGCAAAGCAGTATTCATTAGTAGGTAGCTTGATAGGTTTAATCAAAGACTACAGAAAATAGAGAATTTCAGAGTTGCAAGGGACTAGCTACCCGTTTCATGAACAAAGGAAGCAAGGCCCAAGAGAGGTAAAGGATTGAGGTAGGTAGGGGCAGAGCAAGAACTAGAACCTGGATTTCCTAGGTACATTGCTACTTCTCCTTTAAAATTAATCATATGCCATATGTCAAATAGTTTGTAAAGTGCTCTCCATAGTTATGTTTATCTTAAATAGTCAGAACATTGAATTCTGAGTGTTCATGTTTAGATGGTATTTTTAAAATAATAGTGGAATCTCCATTCATTACTTGTTGGTATACACATATTTACGTTAGCTCTTTTTTTTTCCCCTCAATTATACTTTGTGTAATCTGGTTGTTTCAGTTATATTTTCTTAAAGAGGTCCTACAGATATTGATCAGTGGAATAAAGTTATTGAGCAGTTAGGAACACCATCATCAGACTTTATGAAGAAATTACAACCAACTGTGAGAAATTATGTAGAAAACAGGCCGAAATATCCTGGTATCAAATTTGAAGAGCTTTTCCCTGATTGGATATTCCCATCAGAATCTGAACGAGATAAACTGAAAAGTAAGATTTTTTTTTCTTATGCTTGCATTCCCTAATCCGCATGAAGTTTTTTTTTCATATTTACATTCCACAATATGAACATGTTGTGATATATATTTACCTCATCTGTAAAATGAGAATAACATCAGAATACATTAAAATCTTGTAATTATACCAGCAATTGGAATCCTCGAACACCTTGCCACTTCTCAAGGACATAGAAGTCTAAGATGAGGAGAATCAATGTCAGGATGAATACCTAAAACCTGAGATTTCTGTTCTCAAAGTCTGCCTTTTTGAAGCCTTCAAGCAAAATTTAAAAGCTTCATAGAAAGATTGTGCATATGTTAATTACAGAAAGTGGAGTTACAAAGATGGGAATTTCACACTTTTTCAGAACATCCAAGTAAAGTGTATTTTAAATGTAGTTTCCCATGCCAAATTACCCCAGTCATCTTAATCATTTGCCTCTTCAGAATCTGACCTTGAGGGAGCTCAGAGAAAAATTATCACCCTTGAACCCAAAGCAAATTATATCATGTGATGATCAGAGGAACCACAATCCTTATTTGCCTGTAGTTATGAACCTTGCTGTATGCAAAAGCCCATAGCTCTAATTTATGCATTGATTTTATTTGGTTTTTTTAAATTATAATCCTCTAAATTTTTTTTAAATTGCTAGAATTTCTTCCCTCAAGTACTTTTAAAAAAAATACCTTTGTGTGGTGGAGTTGAGAGGCCAGGTTTATACATTTCCAGCACCTAGCATAGTCAGTGCCTGGCACATAGTAGACACTTAATAAATTCTTTTCGATTGGTTGATTGATGCAGTCTATTTCAGAGAAAACACTACATTCCTCCTCTGGAAATTGGGCCTTTTTTAACTTGGAAGATAAACTTGGTAGGAAAATGGCCCATCTTATGCATTTATAGATATTGGTTGCTGATGACTGTTTTCATCATGCTTCAGTAGTCGACTCTCAGTTAATCAGAAAGTTACGTTGGGCAGAATCCCAAATTCCTGACCTTCCTGGTTAACCAAGGTTTTAGTATAATTGTTTTTAAAGTTTTTGTGTAGCCATGGGGGAGGGAATAACTAGGGGCATGACACCAAGTTTTAGTGCTTTATTCCCCAGAAGGAAGAGCCAAAACTGTCCACCTTCAGGACAGTTCCAACTCTTTGGGCCTTTTTCTTTCATTCATTGTCAGAGAATGCTGCCCTTTCCAGATATTACAGTCGACATGTAGCCTGCACAGAGCCCCATCCATGAGTGTATTCTTTCTTATTTCTCCTTTTAAAAAAAAATAGGATTTAATGTGTTTTTTTTTCTTAAGAAATATTTCAAGATTGTTTTAATGACTGTGGAAATGATTTTAATTTTTTGAAAGTCACTTAGGAATTTTGAGCTTGATGTCAGAAACTTCTTTAAAAGTGGGTACTCTTAACATTTCATAATCTGAGCTTTTTATCTTTTCCTTCTGTGATGCCATATTTAACTTTTTTATCATGTGTTTTTAATTTTCAAATTAAAACTTAGTTTTTAAAATGATATACCTTCTTTTTCTTCCTAGCAAGTCAAGCTAGAGATTTGTTATCAAAAATGCTCGTGATAGATCCTGACAAGCGAATCTCTGTTGATGAAGCTTTGCGTCATCCCTATATTACTGTTTGGTATGACCCTGCTGAAGCAGAGGCAGTGAGTATTGATGTAAAGTGACCTAATAGGTCTTTTCAGTCTCTGTGATTTTATGGATAGAAGCAAGGCATATCCTAGAAGTTAAGGAAGTTTAACACTGCTGTGTGTAGATCTCTCTCTCTTCTCCTATCTTTTCCTTCTCCCCTCTATTTTTTCTCCTCTCCTTTCTCTCTCCTCTCCCCATTCCTCTCTTCTTTCTCTCCCTCTCTTCCATAAATTATGTGTGTGTATGTGTGCATAATTATGTATTGATACACATATGTGTATATGTATTAAACACACATATATCACATAAATATTATATATGTGATGGTTAAATAAATATAGGCAATCCCTGGTTTATACACAACTTAGACATACATGTAGGAATCAAGAGTGTCTAAGTCTAGACCTCTCACTTCCTAAAAGGACCAGTACTCCCTTTTTACTCAATTTATAACTGTTAGGTGTGAATGCCGTAGACAGATACTTTCTCCTATACAGATGTAGAGGTATAGTTAGTAGCTTTCTCTTATGCAGATACAGGAATGTGGGGAGGTTATAAGTTACTGGTGCCAGCAGCGCATACCTATTGCCCATTCCTAGCAAAGCTCTAATTCTCTGCCTTTTCCTGCTCTCTCTACCCTGCCTATTGCTAATGCTGAGTTTGGGAGGTATGTGTTTGCCATCCTTGATCAGAACTGGAAATGCATTATCCCCAAAGAAACCTCAAGCTCTCTGCATGCTTTGACACTTGACTCTCCCTTCATCTTGGATATTGTCTCCTCCTTTGGTTTTTGTGGCGCATCTTTGCCATGATTCTCCTTCTACTTACCTGGCCATTTCTTAGTCTTCTTGCTGGGTCATGATCCAGATCCTATCCTTTCACCATAGTTGTCCCCTAAAACTCTTTCCTGATCCTGCTTCTCTTCTCTCTCTCCCCTCTCTTGGTGAGCTCATCATTTCCTGTAGTTTCAATTATCTTTATCCTGTTAACTGCCAAATCTATATATTCCTCTCCAACCTGTCCTCTAGACTCCAGTCAGTCCTGCTTCACCAGTTGCTTATTAGATATCTCCACCTGAGTGTGCAGTAGACGCTTCAAGTTCAGCATAGTCAAATTAGAACTCTTTATCTATTCTGTGAACCCATCTTTCCTCCATACTTTCCAGTTTCGTTTTTTCTGTATTGTTTCCAATTACATGTAAAACCATTTTTAGCATTCATTTTTTTTAATTTGGGTTCCAAATTCTCTTCCTCCCCCCTCTCTAAGATGGCAGGCAATTTGATGTATATTATACTTTTGCAGCAATGCAAAACATATTTCCATATTAGTCATATTGTGAAAGAAAACACAGACTAAAAAAAACCCACAAAAAAATGAAGTAAAAAAACAGTATGTTTTGATTTCTATTCAGACTTCCATCTGTTCTTTCTCTGGAGGTAGATAGTGTTTTTCATCATAAATCCTTCAGAATTGTCTTAGATCGTTGTACTACTGAGAATAGCTAAGTCATTCGCAATTTGTCGTCACACAGTATTGCTGTTACTATGTATGACGTTCTCCAGGTTCTGCTCACTTCACTTATCATCAGTTCATGTGAGTCTTTCTAGGTTTTTCTGCTCATTCATCATTTCTTATAGCATAATAGTATTCCATCACAATCATATACCACAGCTTGTTTAGCCATTGTCTAATTGGTGGGCATCTCCTCAGTTTCCAACTCTTTGCCAATACAAAAAGAGTTGCTGTAATTTTTGTACATAGAGATCCTTTTCCATTTTCTTTTTAAATCTCTTTGGGATACAGACCTAGTAATGCTGTTGCTGGGTTAAAGGGTATACACAGTTTTGTAGCCCTTTGGGCATATTCCAAATGGCCCTCCAGAATGGTTTGTTCAGTACACAACTCCACCAGCAGTGCATTAGTGTCCCAGTTTTTCCACATCCCCTACAACATTTGTCTTTTCCTGTGCTGTCATATTAGCCATTCTGATGGCTGTTTTAATTTGCATTGCACTATTCGTAGTGATTTAGAACATTTTTTCATATTCTAGATAGCTTTGATTTTTTTCATCGGAAAATGCCATTTTATATCCTTTGACCGTTTATCAATTAAGGAATGACTTATATTTTTATAAATTTTACTCAGTTCACTATATATTTGAGAAATGAGGCCTTTATCAGAGAAACTTACTATAAAATTTTTTCCCACTTCTTTCCTTCTAATTTTGGCTGCATAGGTTTTGTTTGTGCAAAACTTTTTTAATTTAATGTAATTAAAATTATCCATTTTATATCCCGTAATGCTCTCTAGCTCTTGTTTGAACCTAAATTCTTCCCTTATCCATATATCTGACAGGTAATTATTCTATACTTCCCTAATTTGCTTGAGGTATCACCTTTTATGTCTAAATTATGTGCTTATTTTGATGTTATCTGGATATATGGTGTGCCATATATCTACTTTCTGCCAAACTGCTTTCCAGTTTTCCCAGCAATTTTTTTCATGTAGTGGGTTCTGGGATCTTTGGGTTTATCAGACACTTACTGTGGTCATTGCCTCCTGCGTATTTGTGTACCCAGTCTGTTCCACTGATCCACTCTATTTCTTAGCCAGTATCAGTTTGTTTTGATAATTACTACTTTATAATACAGTTTGAGATCTGATATGGCTAGGCAACCTTCTGTCATATTTTTTTCCCTTTAATTCCCTTGATATTCTTGACCTTTTGTTTTTCCAGGTGAATTTTGTTATTATTTTTTCTATCTCCACACAATAAGGTTTTGGTAGTTTTGATTGGTATGGCACTGAATAAATGCATTAATTTAGGTAGAATTGTCATTTTTTATGGTAGCTTGGCCTACCAATGAACAATTAATACCAGTTGTTCAGGTCTGACTTTGTTAGTGTGAAAAGTGTTTTGTAATTGTGTTTATATAGTTCCTGGATTTGTCTTCTCAGATAGACTCCCAAGTGTTTTACACTGTCTACATCTACTTCCCTATTTCAGTCTAGGGCACCACCATTCTTCACAGAGTTAGAAACCCAATTTTATAACTTCTCAGCCATCTTGAATTCTTTATTCTCCATCATCCCCTAAATCTAATCAGTTGCAAGCCTTGTCAGTTTTACCACTACCACACCTTTTGCATCCATTCCTTCATCTAATGTGATTACCCAACTAGTTCGGAATCTCATTACCTCTCACCTGGATTATTGCAGTAGCCTCTTAATTGGGCTCATTACTTCTAGTCTGTCCTTACTTCAATCCTTCCTCCACACAGCTGCCAAAAAAATCTTTCTAAAGTACATCTCTGGCCATGTCAGTCCCTTATTCAAGAATCTCTAGTGACTCCATAATGCCACTAAAATAAAATAAAACTTCCTTCCTTAGCATTAGCATTTGAAGATTTTCACAATCTGGCCCTAGCCTTCTTTTCTAGACTTATTTCGTATTACTCCCCTTTATGTACTGTGTCCCAGCCAAATTGGCTTACTTGCTGTTTTCCAAACAACCTTCTATCTCCCACCTCTATAGCTTTGCTCATGCCTGGAATGCATTCCCTCCTTGCCTGTACCTCTGGGAGCCATTACCTTTCCTCAAGTTCTACTAACTTCTACTTAGGTACCACCTCCTTCTCATAATCCCACTCATTAGTCTTCTTTCCCTTCTTTGATGATCTGTATTTACCTATGGACAAGTTGCATCCTCTCAGTAGATTGTAAATTCTTTAAGGACAGGGACTGATTTTTGTTTTTGTCTTTCTATCTTCATTTCATTGCATGTGGTACATGTTTAATAGATGCTTATTCAGTATTAGACTTTGGGGAAGTCTCTTAGGAATTCCTTATATATATTAGATTTTTGAACAACAGACTTGGTTTTTTTTTTTCAAATTTAACTTTTAGCCACCACCTCAAATTTATGATGCCCAGTTAGAAGAACGAGAACATGCTATTGAAGAATGGAAAGGTAATCACACAAGTTATTTTGACCATCAGTTATAGACATTTTTATCAGTATTTCTTGGCACAAATACATTTTGTATAGTATAATTGACTTAGAGTCAATTTAGTCTTTATTTTGTGAAACTGTGGGACTGTTTAGAATTAGTTAATAGTTTTATCCCCAAATTCTTATGTTAATCAGCGAGTTTATTGAAATGGGGTTTTTTAAGCTATTTTGTTTTCAGTTCTTGTTAAGCTAGATCCAGAAATTTTTAAAAGTCATTTATATCACTTGTTTTTAATAAAGAAGAAATTTTAAAAGATATTTATTTTTACTAAAATGCCGTTGTTTTAAGACTTTGAAGAGGTTTGGTAGAGATTTCAAGTATTTTTTTGTTGGTAATTAAAGCATATGATTACGTGGTAGTAATACCTAGAACATCTTTTCTGTTTCTTGCTAAACCTGACATCTCTCAAAGAATTTGTAAAAAATCTTAAAGATAAAAAAATCTTAAAGATAATTTAGTCCAGTGCTCTCATTTTCCAGACAAGAAAACCAAGACCCAGAGAAAGCAAAACACTGAGTGAAATTGAGCAATAAAAAGGGCTTAGCAGAAAGAACACACTGGGTCTGGAGACTGAAGACCTAAGTTTAGGTTCCTCTCTGCCACTTAATTAATTAGCTGTGCATCCATGAGCAAGACACTTATTTACTCTGGATCCTTGGATCCTAATCTTTAAAATGAAGAGCTTGAACCAAATGATTTTTGAAATTCCTTCCAGCCCTAAATTCTGTTTTCCTCCTCAGTCGGTCAGGATGAGGCATTGGATTAAAACTGGTATTTCCTGACTTGTAGCATAGAACTTTTCCCCCTAAACCACGCTGTGTGAATGATAGATAGCAACCTTAGCATGGTATACAAGTACATAAAAGTTACTCATGATTCAACAGCAAATTAAAACCAAAATGCTATCCATTATATATTATAGCTTACTTAATCATTATTTAGTTTAGCCATTGGATACCTCATTTGGTGTTCTTCCTGTAATGTTCAAGTTTGTTTGATAGTATTAATTTGTTGTCATAAAAGCATTTTGAAAAATTCATTTGCATATAAAGATACTGTTAATGATTATTATATCTTGTTTTGTTTTATTTTATTTTGAGCCTGACCTATGATTTTATTGCTATAGGAAGCTCCCTCTGACAGAATGGGTCTATATCTGCTCTGCAGCTCTGGGACACTGAGAGATTAAGTGTCTTACTCAGGGTCACTCAGCCAGAATGTATCAAAGACAGGGATTGAACTCAAGTCTTACTGATTCCAAAGCCTGCTCTATGTCTCTGACCTATACTATATTGCTTCTCATTAGTTTATGTTATTATTTTGTTAACTATTCTAAATTCTAAATTTTCAATTATGTTTTAGAAATATTATTGTCCTGGTATTACATTCCCCACTTTTTTTTTTAATGTGATATGTAGAGGTCTGAACTCCATCTCTAGTACTAGACAGGTAAATCTGACAAAAGTGTCTTGGGCTCAGATCTGCCTACAGTCACAGCACTGAAATGGAGCATGTTTGATACACAAGACTATAGCCTAGCATAGTATTCAATTCAGGGACGTCAAAAATAGGTCTTTTATCCTAATGAAAGTTAATTTTGAAAGTTTATAGAAATATAAAGAAACTAATGAAACATTTTAACTTAAATTTTTATTTGAAGAACTAATATACAAAGAAGTAATGGACTGGGAAGAAAGAAGCAAGAATGGTGTGGTAAAAGATCAGCCTTCAGGTTAGTGATTAGTTTAATAGTTTTACTTCTGGTAATCTTGCTTTAGCCAACTTAAATACCAACAGTGTTTTCTATATTAATCATTATGGTTTAGGCAGTTGTTTTTAAAAAAGAATTTGCCTCTTAGCACTTTATTCATTCTGATGATTGTAAAGTTATCTTCTAGATACACACAATCCTCTATAACCATGGCTACACAATCAAACCAAGCAGAGAATTAAAGTAGTTCCAAGGACAAATTAGCCTTTGTTTCTTTAAACACTTTTGCCCAAATTTCCCAACTGATTGTGAATAATCATTCTATTTCACTAGTAGTAGTCTGGGACCTGTGAGCACCTCTTTAAAGTACAGAGGCTCAATAGATTACTTTTGCACATGTAAAGAACAACTAGGTGGCCCAGCGGATAGAGTACTGGGCCTGGAGTCAGTTCAAATCTGGCTTCAGACACTTATTAGCTGTGTGATCCTGGACAAGTCACTTATCCCTATTTGCCTCATTTCCTTATCTGTAAAATGAGCCAGAGATGGAAATAGCAAACCACTGTAGTATCTTTGCCAAGAAAACCCCAAATAGGGTCATGAAAAATCAGACATTTCTGAAATAACTAACAACAGGTATACATGCTTGTGAACTGTGGCCTGACTTGCTCTTTTCTACACTTGCTACCAACATACAAAAAGAAGATGTATGTAGAATATGTTGATGACTTTCGTTTTTGTATTATAAACCAACAAATAGTGTTCAAAGATAAAAGATTACAGTGTAACTTAAAAATGAACACAATTTGGGAGTTGGGTGAACACTACTTGTCCAGGGCTCATTCTGGTCAGGCCAGGCCATAAAGCTGAACATTAAGAATGAAGTGTCCTGTTCTGCCTTAAGAAATTTAAATGTTATCCCTGAATTTTTTAAAAATCCCAAGCCCCTGGTCTTTATGCCATTTTCCTTTGGGGCAGACTAATCTTTGTTGCAGCTACCTGTTGTTATTACCCAACCTTAATCTTAAAGATGTGCTTTTTGACTTACACTTAAGTAGAGTACAGTGTAGAGAAAATACACCTGAGGGATTTCGAAACCTGATTTTCCACAAGCCTTTTTAAGAACAATGATATTTGGATAAATGCAGTGATTTTCCTTTTAAGTTTTCTTGAAATTAAAGTGTATTTTTAGAACACAATGGAGTCTACTCTTATATGATCAAAAGGCAGCATGATAAATAGAAAGCTAAAAACACCCGAGTCTTTAGTCCTGCTTCTGACATATCCTGGCTTTGTGACCCTGGCCAGGTCACTTAGCCTCTTGTACTGTAAGCAGTGCTCTAAGTTGAAGAGGAGGTGCTGACCTGCACTGGTAGAGGTAGTTTTCTCATCTGGGTGTTCCTTATAACATGAAATTGCAAGTCCAGGCCCTAGCCCTATATATGGCAGTGTGCTTGATGCCAGACTATTGGGAAAAAAAATTAAAGTGTTTGTGAAAAGACATTAAATCTAGGGGATTGAGGAACCTAAGAATGGGGAGAACTTGGGAAAAGATTTAAAAGTTAGTGTTGACTAATTGCATCCTTTGTAAGATTGCTTTTCTGCCTCCAAAATTGGGATTGGGGAATTGTCATAAAGGGGAAGGAAAATAAGTGTCATTTGTCCATAACCCTCACTGTTTTGCTTGTTTTTGTAACAATGTCTTGCCTCAGATTTTATTATATTTGGTTTACTTAGCACAGATGCAGCAGTAAATAGCAACACCACTCCTTCTCAGTCCTCATCTATCAATGACATTTCATCCATGTCAACAGAGCAGACGTTGGCTTCAGACACAGATAGCAGCCTGGATGCCTTGACAGGACCCATTGAAGGTTGTCGATGATAAGTTAAAAATTGCAAACTTGCAATTGGAAAAGAACTCTTGATTCCATGCTTGTAAGTTCATGGAACCAAGCAGGAAAACTCCATGTTCTGCATGTCCTAGTCAGTGCAATGCCTGTGTTCTTACTCAGCTGTAATTTGATTGCCTGCTTGATGTTATAAAAATGAAAGCAACGCAATGTCTGACAAAAAAATTCACAAGCCAATCATAGAATATTTCAGGTGAGCAATTATAGTAGTTGGGGGGAAAAGATGATTGTGATATCAGCAGTGACCATGTGTCTTTAGCAAACTTCTGGACTGAACAAACATGTGCCACCAGAAGCTTGCTTTATTTATTTAGCTTTGCTTTTTGGCCTGTCTTGCATTCAGAAATGTGGTGTGTAAAAGTCCAGTGATGCTCCACACAGTGTATTTTTTCAAGCCGTTTCTTATTCCTCCTGAGTAATGTGGTGTCTACGGTAGAAGAAATAAATAGTCCTCTGAGATGATTACACTATTATTTCCTATTTTGCTCTCTATCATAGTATGCTTCATTCTATAGCTTTTTTTCTTTCAGGAGAACAGGCATTTTAAAAGTATATGTTTAGTAATAAAAAAGGCAGTTGCTTTCCATGAATTAATGGCATTCAAGGCTGAAGATGAATTATTGTAATATATATGTATACATATATATGTTGATGTTGACCACTACTCAAGCAAAAATATTTACAAGGACATTTGTTCTTCTTAAATTGCTCTGTCCTGTGTTAATGTGTAAATTTGACTTTTCAGTATGCCAAAGGATGTTTTGTTACATGCAAAGTCGCATCTGACTTAAAAGCCTGTCCGTTTAACTTGCCCCTGATCTATTAGTACTCTAGATATCTTAGTTTGCAGTGCTTTAAGGAGCCTCATGTCTCCCAATAAATGTATTGTTACAGTTACTCATAATCCATGGCACATGGATTCTTAAATTCGTTATCTTCATCACTGATAGAGTAGATTTTTGCAAAATTCTGGCAGGGTGGGCAGAGTGCTGGACGATGTGGTTCCCAGTTCTCCTCTGATGCTTAATAGGCACACACTTGACTGGGGGCAAGTCACTTAATATCCTTGAACCTCAGTTTCTTTACCTGTTAAAAGAAAATAATTTACATAGTACATGTCTCACAGGGTTGTCTCCAGGCTCAAACATGATCATGTATGGAAGATGTGTTGCAGATTTTAAAGTAATACAATTATCCTCTTATGTGAAAAGTCAAATTGATCATTAATTTGAAGTTAATAGTGGTTTCTATTCTAAATTAAGAAAAACATTGATTATGACCCCTAATTCATATTTTATCTGTTTTTAAATGGAAGATGCTTAAAATATTTTTTAGAAACTTCTGGCTTTTTTTTTTTACTTTTCTGAAGGGTCCTGGGAGTACTCTTTTTTTTAAAACTAGCAAATTAGTTTTTGAAGTATGACTTTGGGATTTGAGGGGGCACGCTGAACTACAGTTAATAAATAAACTGATAAGAGATTTGTAACTTGTAATTAAACTGCTCACCTGAAAGAGATACTTTGAATATTATTCATGTGTTTTTATATATGTATACATATACGTACATATATATATATATATATCTCAAAGTTCATTAAGACACTGAGTATCTAAATGGCATTGCAGAAATGGAGTCAGTTAAAACAATTGCATTTCAACTATGTTGCTCATAATTTTTCCCCCTCAAGAGCTTATTTTTACAGACTAATATCTTGTTTTTAGTCGTTTTGGAAGCTGTTTGGACTGAACATTCAGTAGAATGTGTTTTGAGGAAGTATTTTAATAAGAAAAGGTCTGTTATAAATACTATACAAAAATGAGGTTTTGTCTACACCAGTTAAGTCATATGGTTGGTCTTATCACTGGAAACTGGAGCCTTTGGTGGACAAGAAAGCAAACTTACATGAATCTCTGAAATCATTTATTCTGTATTGAATGTTACAAACCAGACAAATTCAGCTAAGAAATAAACACTTTGGTGACTCTAGGATTCCAGCAGAAATACCCATTATAAAAATTAATCGTCAGTTGTTCTTAATGTGTTTGAGGGGGGAAAAAAGGATATCACTATGCATATTAAGATGGCCCTTTCTTTAACATTTATTGTGAAGAGCAACAAATCCACCATGCCTATATTTCTCTTTTTTTTAATGCACTTTAAAAAAAATTGATGATACTTTGGTAACTTTTCTGCTTTGGAAGTTTGTCTGAACAGAAGCACCCTGAAGCTTAAGAGGGTACTTCCTCCTGTTCTACCAAAGGATATTTGTGAGTGGAATCCATTGTAACTTGTCCATAAATTACCCTGCTGACCATTTATTTTCAGGTGCAATTCCAGATGTTCATTTTCATTGACAAAGCGTAGTATGATTTGTATAATGATTACTGTTGGCACCATCTTTCTTCTTATATGTTACCATTGCAGTAGAATTCTGTGAATTTGCTCTACGTGACAGATCTAAGACTTTTAAGACCCCATGCTGGAGGTGGAGGCAACATGTTTTTCAGAATGATACCTCACTGCAGTTTTAGAATTCCTGTCCTTAACCCCTGGGCTGGCTGACCTTTTGGTTCTCATACAATGTGAATTGTTCTAGTTTGACCTTTCTTGACAGTTACTAAAGTTGGATAGAATATTACAAATTTTGCATGTCTTTTTCATCTTTGCTGTTTGTCTTGTTTAAGTAACCCTTTGGGGAGTGCATTCATATAACCCAGATAACTTAGAAGAATCTTGAAATTGGAAATTTGGGCTTTTTTATTGGCTCAGGTTTTAGTCCAAGAGAAAAGTGGTTCTGTTCTGATTTCACATGCCAGTTCCCAAGCATGGAAAGCTCTCAGAGCACCGTGGCAGGTCAGCTCAACAAACATCAAGTGTGGACCATGTGCAGGGCACAAATGTAGGCACAAGAGGTACAAAGATGAAATAAGACAGAGGTGCCTTCCTTCAAGAAGTTTAGGATGTAGCAAGGGCTGGAGAAATCTGAAACACTGATTAGTTTTTTTAATAGCAGTTCTTCTTGGCCCTGATCATTGGCATGTAAATTTCAGAGGAGCAATAATGGAATAACAGCTAAGGGAGAAAACTCTATGGAATATTGAGTGTAACCTTGGTTTAATCAAGGCTTAATGTTGTCCTTTGTGACAAATTCATCTGGGTAACTCATGTGATAACTACACTAAGTATGGTCACAGCCACTCATGACCAAATATACGTTCTGGTGATTAATAAATATGATCTTTAAGATCACACATCCCAAAATTAAATAGATTTATCTAAGTTTTTATCATTTAAAAAAAATGTCTATCCATTTGGATCAGTGAAAATTCCTGAGGCCAAATTTTCAATTACGGTCCCTTTATTTGTACCTGTATCGAAAGGTAATAGATGGAAAATTGCAGCAGCAGATTGTGACTTCTTAGATTTGCAAACATACACTCACTCACAGACACAACGTGTAGGGCCTCCCTCACCCCAGGTGAAGCCTCCTTAAAAGATTGTGACCAATGGAATGCTTGTTAGCTGTCATTTGTGTTTAGGTCTTGCTGCTTAAAAATCCTAATGGTGCTTGCAGTTTTGCACATGAACCATTTCATTCATTGAGGTACTTTAGGATGCTTATAATATAGCATCATAGGCTTGGAAGGTTCCTCTTTCTTATAGCTAAAAAGCAAAACTATCCCTGATCATCCCAGATAAGTGAGTATAGTATCAATCTTATTTTAAATATATAGGGGAAAAGGATCTAATATAAGCATGACTTTGATTTCTCCCTTATTGCCATCTTACCTATCCCATTTTAAATTTAGCAAATAGTTATTTTCACTTGCATATTTAAGAGTCCAATTCTGGTCTTTTATTTAAACCATACTTTTTTTTTCATTTAAAAAAATTAATCTAAAAATTAACTACTTGATCCTGTCCAGAAGACTTTCTGATCATGTATGATGAATTTAAGCACTAGTTTCCTAGTTGTTACTAATTGTATTTTGCAAAAATATAATTATAGACTTTAGAAAACCATTATGTTGTTAAAGATAGTTTCCTTGATTTTCAGAAAGGAATGTAGAGCTACTGTATATCTCCCTGTTAGTTTCTGTCATAGTTCCTATGTTTTTTGTATATACTAATTAGGTCATGGCTGCCACTTTTCCTTGGGAAATTTTAAAAGAGAGGCTTTAAATATAGATGTGGTCATTTTCTTTCATTGTGCATAGAGAGAATGCAGGTTAGATGGTGACACAGTAGCTGTTAACTGGCTTTTTCTTGGTCAGAGAAACTTAGGGGCTGGGAAGGACCTTAAGTCATCTGATTCAAACCCTTCATTTTATAGATAAGGACACTCAAGCCCTGAGATGAAATTATTTCAATACAAGACCACATATCTGGTTAAATCTTGGCAGAACCAGAACTAGAGCACAGATCTATTGATTTTCTGCTTAGGGCTCTTTCAATTGAGCTACCATGCAGCCTTTCATTCTTATGGCTCCATGGAATGGCTGTTTCTGAGGTATTTGATGTTCATACCAGAGGCAAGACAGAAAGTTTATTAGAACATCCTAACTTCATTTTATACTACTTCTCCCCTCTGCATCTTTCTCATCTTAAAGTACAAGGGAGATTTTCAGAGTCCTTATTCTACACCTCAGGGCCAGCTGGGGTTCTTATTGAAGAGCGAAGGAAAGAAAGAAACTCACTACAGGTCAGATGTTCCCCTTTCCTTTCACCTTTCCTGTCTGTTATTTAGTAACAAGTTTGCAAGGGGACAGACTTTAATTTAACATTAGAGCTTCACAAAAACATGAATGAAACAAGGTGTTAGCTATATATTTAAGGACCATGTTCATTATGGGTTTTTGACTAGCTAGAATATATAATTTATTCTTCACTTAATCACTTTAAACTTATGATGCTCTCCTAAGAATGTTATCTTCTCTACTCCTCCAAAACTTACCCATATTTCATCCTTGATTCCATTGAAAATGGTATGCCTTTGTCTTTGTGCTGCATATTTGGATTTCATAGAATCTCGGAGTTGGAAGATACCTCAGAGGTCATCTAATCCAGTCTATAATTAAACAAGAATCCCCTGTATTATGTCCTCAGTAATGGGCCATCTACCCTCTATTTGAACATTTCCAGTGACTGAGACTCCCTACCTCACAAGCCAGCCCATTCCAGTTTTCAGTGATTCTACTTGTTCTAGATATGTTGAGCTAAAATTTGCTTTTCCATAACTTCCACCCAGTGATTCTGATTCTGCCGTTTGGAGCTGCATAGAATTAAGAACCATCCCTCTTCCATTTGAGAGCCCTCCAGGTATTTGAAGAAATGCAATACTTACTTCCTTTCCTTAAGCCATTCTTCATATGACTTGATTATATCCCACTTAATTACATCCATTATATCCTGGTTGACTTTCTCTTGATGCACTTCATTTTTTGTCAGTGTCCTTCTTAAAATGTGGCACCAGAAGCTGAAACAGTCCTTCAGTTGTGGTCTGAATAGTTTAGAGTTTAGCAAGACTCCCTTGTTCTGAACCCTATACGTATAGTAATAAAGATCCTAAGGTTGTTTGTAGCTTTTTTTGGCAGCCATATCACTGTTGACTCATATTGAGCTTGCAATTATCTGAAACCGCAGTTCTTTTTTAATGTGAAATTATGTTAAGCCTCGTCTAAGTGCAGAACGTTTAATTTGTGAACCCATTCTTCCATCCTAATGGAATAGTTTTGGGTCATATGTCTCAACTACCATTTTATCTCCCTCCCAAATTTGTGGATGATTTATCTATCCATAGATTTGGTGAGCATGCTATCCTTTGTCTTCACCCGAGTCAGGATAAAAATGTTGAACTAAGTAAAGCTGGAGACAGTGTCCTATTTCTGTGATTCATATTCTGTGATAATACCCTGAGGCACATTACTAAAAACCTCCCTTGAAGTTGATGTTGATTCATTAATCAACATTTTTTTGCTTACAGTAGTCTAGCCAGCTAACCTTAATACAGTCACCTAACCCACATTCTTCCATTTTATCCACAAAGGTATCTTGAGGCCTTTTGTCAGAAATCTTACTGAGATATACACACACACACATATACACATACACATACATACATGCATGTATATGTGTATATACCTACATGGATATCTGTTCCCTAATTCCCAATCTAATAAACCTATTTGAAAAATAAGATGAGGTTAGTTTGACATAAGTGCTTCTTAGAATCCAAGTTTGGTCCTGGGAAATCATTGCTTCCTTCTTTTTTTTTGGTTGAGGCAGGGAGCACCAGCTTTTACTTTAGTGTCACAGTCTGCTTTGGCTTTGTCCTGTGTATAAAATGAACATTGTTGTTGAATAGTTCAGCTCATCCCAATGTATTTTAATCAGTGAGCAAATTCTGGGGGTGATAAGGAGCAGGACAGATATAATATTAAGTCCTAATACCACTAATTTGTATTCAGCATTTTTTACTTTATTTTGGTTACACTTTGTGATTTCAAAAGGAATGATGTGTGCTTTGAAGTCTGTAATCCCTGTAAAGTTACATGAAGTGGCTTACATTGCCCATTCCATTGGGCTTCGTTGATGCCGCCCTTTTGTCCCTCTTGTTGCCTGTTCAGTACAAAAATGTTTTATGTGATGGCCTTGACGATTTTGTCTCATGCTGGATATAATTTCAAGAAGTTTTACCACTTAAGACACATTGTTTTTTACTGATGGCAGTTGTATTTCCTTGTTTTCATTTGATTTTAAAGTAGGCTAGCGTTTCATAAAGAATGTTGTCAATAGTTAAGTTTGAACTGCTAGCTATATCATATGAAATTTTATTTCTTAAAAGCCTTTTTAAAGAAGTAAATTATCTTACTAAAAACACTGTAAAAAAAATAAATATTTGAATGGCAAACATTCAACTGTCTGTGTTGTTTGTTTAACTCCTTTTCAAAGTTTAAGGTCCAGAATGCTTGCCATTACTTGTGATAATGTCGGCCAAGGATTGCATGGATAATTTGAATTTATGGAGGATCCCCAAAACTTATTGTAGTGAGTAATTATTAGCCACCAAACACTTTTTTTCTAAACCAGAACTATTGACAAGAATAGACTAATTTGAGAAATATTACCTGGTCCTTTGACAGAGGTTCTAATGATTATAAAAATGCTTAAAGCAGTACTTCAAACAATAAACCAAAAAACAGAGTAAACCATACTGATTGATTGAACTCTAGTCCAAAACAAACCTTGATATTGATTTCTCACTGAATTGCAGTAACCAAACCCAAGCTGATTTCCCCTTTACTAGCACTGCCTCTCCCCCCAAAAGAGCACCTAGTGAACCATATCAAATTAAAATAATCTGTAAAGGATGATCACTTTAGAGCTGGAAAGAGCCTTCTCATCTGGTCTAACTTTTTGTTTTACACTTAAAGAATCCAAGGCCCCATATGTAATCATAGAGAAGAGATTTGAACCTTGGTTTTCTGACTCCAAATCCAATAATTGCAGGGTAGTTAGTGAAAATCATGCTGTATATTTTCATTTGTTGACAGCCACAAAGGAGTACATATGTTTACACGGTATAAAGGTCACTCAGTTGCTTTTGTGAATAGATAAATTTCTTCCTAGGATGCAGCTGTTCCTTTGTTACCTTTGAATTCTCCTTAGAATCAAAACAAAAAATTTGGCAAAAGCACTTTAATTTAGCTATCTTACAGAACACAGCATAACATGCCCCAAGTAAGGGAAGACTGAATACCTGAATCTAGGCTTTGTTTCTCAATGGGACCTCAAATAACTAAACCTATAACCACAGGAAATCTTACCCTCACCTCCAAATGCGTGGTAACAGAACTGCTCCCATATTTGTAATTTAAGGAAACAAGACAATTTACAGGTGTTGATGAGGCATGGCCCATGGCTCTAGGAATCCCAGGATGGCCTGCTCTGAAGATCTGCCATTCTACAGAGAGTATCCTACTATCAGGATGGTATCCTGTTACATATAGCCTAGCTATTGAGATAGGGTGGTAGTTGAAAATGGATAGAGAAAGGGGCTAGAAGGTAGCCTAGTTACATAGGGAAAGAAGAGACTTTAAGTGTAGGAAGGCTATTGAAACATAGATGGCAGATTTGTAAAATGTTTCCCCCAAAAAAAAACCAAAACCAGTATGTTTTGTGGGTTAAGGGAGGGGAAAAGAGGTTAGCAAAGTGGATAAGAGATAGAACTGAAGTCCAATATTACTGCAGAATATTAGAAACTTGTCACAATGAGTCACTGCTATTTTGTTAAGTTATTTGTATAAGACATTTTGAATTTTATACTATTTACTTTCACAATTTTCCTATAAAAAGTAGTTATCAGACATCTCGTAATTTCTGTGTAGCCATTAGCTGTGTTAATAGTACACATAGGATAATAGTGCAGTAAGGTAAATTTGGAACTGGTTGAGTGACCAGATCCTAAGTGGTAATTAATTTCAGCCTGGCAGGAAGTCTTTAATGGAGTATCTCATTGATTAGTCCTTCACCCTGTTTCATTGTGATTAGTAACTTAAATGATGCCAAAATGACAATGCTCATCAAATGTGAAAATTAAAAGAAAAAATCTGTGAAGAATTTCATGAGCTAACATGTTAGTAGACAGAATTAGAATCCAAAAAATGTTGACAAGATGAAATGAGAGGCTGAACCTAATGAGATGAAATTTTATAAAGATAGGGCAATAGTAGAGAGATTGCAAGGTAGTCATAGACTCCTCCAAAATGACAGACACACCAAAAAGAGCAAAAGAAATGGACAGACAGAAGAGCTCCAGTGTGATAAAAAGGATTATAGATCAATTGAGAGAAAGGTCCGAAGCATCAGAAACAAATGATGCGAGATATAGCAAGAGATGGCTTCAAATGAACAAATGACACATTTAACAAATTAAAGCAAGAATTCATACTGGCAAGAAAGTCACAGGAGGACAGAAGAGAACTTGCCACAGTTAAAACATACAGCAAAGATCTAAAACTGAATGATGCTTTTTTTAAAAAATGAGATGAAGAAATATAAAAACTAATGTGGAGAATATACTTGCCAATAGAAATAGACAACCAAGAGTAGAATACAGGTGAGGGCAATCACAATGTAATGGAGGTTGAGTGTGGGGAGAAGAAACTTAGAAAAAACTGGAAAAGGGTCTGGAAACTAGTTTCAAAGAACAAATCTGGACTATATTACTTGAGATAGCAAGTTCACTATCACATGCCAGAGAATTTAGAAAAAGGGAAGAATTTGGTCACAATATTGCATTATTTTTTGAAGTTTTCCAGAATTCTCTAAATCAGGGATCGGGAACCTGTGGCCTTGAGGCTACACATAGCTTTCTAGGTTCTTGGGTACAGCCTTTTGACTGAGTCCAAGTTTTACAGAACAGATCCTTTTATTAAGGGGATTTGTTCTGTGACATTTCATAACATTCTTACAAATAGCCATTCAATGTCTTCAAGAAGCTTGAATTTAAACTCTCCCAGAAACATTTATGTCCAAATTCAAAACTACATTCAAAAGGTAATGATCATTTAACCTTCAAAAATTAAAAGATATGATGGAATATTGGTCAAGATCACAGAACACTTTTTTTCCCATAAAAGGCAAAAATGATTGGAGAAATTTTAATACAATATAATTTGTTTTCTGAGTGATCCAAGGACACATAATCAGCCTTCAGAAAATTTGACAAGAGAATAAATATTTCAGAATCAAAGCTTCTCTAACAGTTTCACATGGAAATAGACATTTCATAGCAGACTTTGGTAAAGAGTAAAAACATTAAAAATATATCTATTTATCCCAGTGCACACTTTTAGACCAAGATGAACCAGTTAATAACTTAGTGTGAGTGCTTGCCCCAAAATATTGTATTGGCTAGTTTATTGATTGTTACAAAACTGTGGTTTATTAAGCAAAATAATAAGATTATATAGGATGATCCCAAATTAGAACATGAACCAAAATTAAAGGAAACTTGGACAGTTGGAAGCATAAAATACAGGAATTTTGTTTAGTGGTATTTTCTTAAGTTAAATAGTAAAATTAATTTTATATTCCCTTTTGCCAACAATAATAAGTTAACTAAGAATGGTAGAAATAAACAAATTTGACAGTTATACTAAATATAGATGAATTGAACTCTCCAATTACAAGATTACATCATGTATTAAAGATGATCCAATAATATGTTGTCTACAGTAAATACATCTATAAATACATCTAACATAGGAAAACAAATTTTTGTCCAACTTTTCAGTTTAATTCTATTATATAACTAGGTCAAAAGTGGAAGTAACATTGAGATGTCAGATAAGAGTGAATTTATACCTGAAAGTATTGAGAGAAAGACAAAAAAATTCTATTATGGTTAAAGGCATTCAAAATGAGAGTGTAATAGTTTGACATTTTATACATCAAATGATATAGCAGCAAAATCTATAAAGGAAAAGCTTTGAAAATTCATACAAAATTTTAAAAGCTCCACTATCAGAGTATGATATAGCTTTTAAAAATACCATAATAGTAACCCATGTTTATAGATTTGACATTTTCAAAGCACTTCCCTGTGAAGTAAATTATGTATATCGCTATTTAAAGGTGAGGAAATTGAAGTTCAGAGAGATGAAGTAATTTGTAGACACAGAGCTAAATATCAGAGTTTAACTCTACTTAATCTGACTGCAAATCCCAGTGATCTTTTCACTATGCTATGATGCCTTCCTGTAGGCTGTAGGATGTGGTGGAGGATAAATAAGAAAGGAGGGAAAAAATGAGGAAATAATGTACATTTTTTCTAGTACATGTGACTCACAAAAAATTAATTTGCTGGGTTATGTTAAAATTTTGGAAAACAAACTGAGCTGTACAGATAGAAAATCGGAGAATAACCAGAGTTAGAGTAGAAATTAATGAAATTGAAAATAATTTTAAAAAAAAATTAAGCCCAAAGCCTTTTTTAAAATGATAGCTTCAATTAAAATGAAAAGGGTAGAGACAAGTAAAATCACCAAAATTAGGCATGAGACATCAAAATGAGTACAAGAGAATCAAGAAAAGTATCATACTACTGTGGTAGATAGAATAAGAAAGACCTTTGTTCTAATCTGCACACTGACACTAGTTATATGACCAAAGGCAGGCCACTTAACTTCTAATCTGCAAAATGGGGATAATGCTTCATGTAGTACCTATCTTAAAGGATTGTTGTGAGGTTCAAATGAGCTCACACATGGGAATGGCTTTGCAGATTTCAAAGTACTACATACATGATGATTAGTCTAACAAATTCGAGAACTGAAAAGAAATGACAATCTGCAAAAATAAACAATACTTATTTTTACAAAATAGGAAGTAGATAATCAGAATGAAACAATGCCAGCAGACTAAATCAAGCCATTAATGAGTTTCCTGCAAAGAGGCACTAGAATCAAATTCATAAGTAAGTTCTACCAAGCCTTCAAAGAACATGTAGTTTACATATTAGATTATATTTCTTAATAGAGAAAGACAGTTTCTTTTACCCAGTTTCTTCTATGAGACATGTGATTTCAGTCCCTAAATGTGACAAAGAAAATACTGAAAAAAACATAAGCAAATATCAATAATATCAGTAAGTATGTTAAAATACTAGCAAGTAGAGCACAGTAATACATAAAACATTTGTTATCAATTAGGACTTACAATTGGAATTGAAGTATAGTGGACTATAAAGAATCAATAGTAATAGTTCATGGAGGCAGAGCCAAGAGGGTGGAGTGGCAGGGAACAGTGTAGCAAGCTCCCTCATCCCTCCTCCTAACTCATTTGCCCCCCACCCTATAATCTCCAAGCAGATCTATAAAATACATCTGTCCAAATCCTGATGGGAAAAT